TCTAAGCAACTGGATGCAGTGGCCAGCGGACTTCCACCTTGTCTAAGAGCTGTAGCTGCAGCCGCCCTGCTAGTAGCTGAAGCCGATAAACTCACTCTGGGTCAAGAACTTTATGTACGAGTTCCACATGCAGTACAGACGTTGTTGGATTACAAAGGAAATCATTGGTTTAGTAACAGCCGTATGACCAAGTATCAAGCAATGTTGTGTGAAAACCCAAGAGTGCATTTAGAGATTGTAAATACCTTAAATCCAGCTACCCTTTTGCCACAACCTACTGAAAGTCAACATGATTGTTTGGAAGTAATGGATGAAGTATTTTCAAGTAGACCAGATCTTCGTGATTTTCCCATCCAGAACCCTGATGTTCAATATTACACCGACGCAGTAGTTATGTAAAAGAAGGGATCCGCTATGCAGGATATGCAGTAACAACGATAGACAAGGTGATAGAAGCTCGGCCACTGGCAAAAGGAACATCAGCACAAAAGGCAGAATTGATAGCACTGACACGAGCGTTACAATTGGCTGAAGGTTTAAGAGTGAACATCTACACGGACTCCAAGTATGCGTTTTTAACCACTCATGCCCACGGAGCTTTGTATAAAGAAAGAGGACTATTGAATTCAGAAGGCAAAGAAATCAAATACGCAGCTGAGATCCCACAACTATTGGAAGCAGTGTGGGAGCCGAAAGAAGTCGGTATTATACATTGTCGGGCGCATCTGAGAGGAGATGGTGATGTAACCAAAGGGAATCGGATGGCAGATAGTGCAGCTAAGCGTGCTGCTGAATCAGGAAGACAGGAATATGTGGGGCATATAGCTGCTCTTATACCAGCTCCACTGTCTCAATGGACTCCAATTTATACAGCTCAAGAAGAGGAGTGGTTAAGGACTGAACCTGGAAAGTATTTGGAGAACAAATGGTATCAGTTAGAAGATGGAAGAATAGTTATTCCAGCATCACTAGCGGTAGAAATTGTCCAAAACTATCATAACGGGACACATTCTGGGAGAGACAGTACAGAAGAATCTCTCAGAAAACATTTCTACATACCAAGATTGTCCAACTTGACTCAGGCCATTGTACGTAGATGTGTAACGTGTGCTAAAAATAATGCAAGACAAGGACCAGTAAAGCCACCAGGAGTCCAGTTTATGGGGGGACTTCCCATGTCCGATTTACAAATTGACTATACAGTGATGCCTAAATCGGGTGGACATCGCTACCTGCTGGTAGTGGTGTGCACCTATTCAGGCTGGGTAGAAGCATGTCCTACTCGTACAGAGAAAGCAGGAGAAGTCGTGAGATTCCTGCTACGAGAAATAATACCCCGATATGGACTACCCTGCTCTATAGGATCGGACAATGGTCCAGCTTTGTTCATCAGTGCCTACAACAATTGACTCATATGCTTGGTATAAAGTGGAGGCTTCATACGGCATATAGACCCCAGAGTTCTGGTAAGGTAGAGAGAATGAATAGAACTATTAAGAATCAGTTGGCTAAAATGTGTCAGGAAACCCAACTTAAGTGGAACGTTCTCTTGCCCATAGCTCTATTGCGAATCCGTAGTACACCTACCAGAAGGATGGGCCTCTCTCCTTTTGAAATCATGTACGGGCGACCACCTCCCGTGCTTGGTAACTTAAGGGGGGATTTGAGTCAGTTGGGAGAAGGAATTACCCGGCAGCAGGTTGTAGAGTTGGGTAAGACTATGGAGGAGGTACAGAAATGGGTACAAGATAGATTACCTGTGAATATTTATCCCCCAATTCATAGTTACCACCCAGGCGACCAAGTGTGGATTAAAGAGTGGAATAATGTGCCGTTAGGGCCCAAGTGGAGAGGTCCTTATGTTGTTCTTCTGTCTACCCCTACAGCGATAAAAGTAGCCGAAGTGGCTCCGTGGATACATCACTCCAGGGTTAAACCAGCAGCAGCCGATTCCTGGCAAGTTACAGCAAATCCAGAGAATCCCTGCAAGATCCGGTTAAAACGCACGACTCAGTCGGAGTGACGAGGAACCTTGTGGATTACAAATTTTATTGTTTCAGAGACTTGGTAAGTGAGTGAGAAGGCCATAATAAAGCCTGTCCACTCACCAACGAGTGTATAAGTCAGGGAAAGTCTTGAGGGGACCCCTGTGAAGACGAGCAGAACTCCATTCCCTGCAGCCCTTACATCCTGGAAGCTGAGGTGCCTTCGCACGGACGAAGACTGAGGATGACGACGAAAGATGTATTTTTAATAATGTTTATTTATGTGTATTTTTATATTCAGGAAGGTAGAGGTACCGACACTCCTAGCTGTGAGGTATGCATTAAGACTACAAGAACAGGTAACCATATATCCCAGACCCTAATTTGGCATTCGCAATATGAGTGTAAAGGAGATGTATCAAGATGTAGATACTTAAATATAGAATATAGTGTGTGTCATTTAGGAGTAGGAGAACCTAAGTGCTTCAGTCCTGAGTATCAACCCCGTACAATTTGGTTGACTCTCAGAAATGGAGATCCTCAGGGGACCCTAATTAATAAGACGGTATTAGAATCCGTATATTCTTCAGGTGCTCTGCTATTTGATGCGTGTAAAGCAATATCAAGTGGTAGAAAGCCGTGGAATGTATGTGGGGATCTTAGATGGGAGAGGACGTATGGGTCTAACGATAAATATATTTGTCCCAGTAGTAAAAATAGATATGTAAGTCCAAGATGTCCAAATAGAGATTATAACTTCTGCCCATATTGGTCTTGTGTGGGGTGGGCGACTTGGGGACAGACAGTAGACAAGGACATGATTGTGACTAAGTTGCCTATTGATCCATATTGTAAGTCTATGGAATGCAATCCAATCCATATACTTATAAATAACCCTGACAAGTTCTTAGATAAATATGGTAATTTATTTGGGTTTCAAATATATGGGACGGGTTTAGACCCTGGGACAATATTGTTTATAGGGATAGAGACTGATACGGTAACCTCCCAAACTCATCAAGTATACCATTCCTTTTATGAAGAGATGAGCATAGATAATAAGATCCCCATAATGCTAAAAACTTGTTCATTGATTTAGCCGAGAGTATTGCCGGTAGTCTTAATGTTACCAACTGCTATGTGTGTGGAGGTACTAACATGGGAGACCAATGGCCTTGGGAAGCAAAGGAGGTAATGTCCGGTTCTGAGGCAGTTGACCAATTAATATCTACACAAGCCGACTATCATATGAGTGTTAGAGGTAAATCTGAGTGGAGATTGAAGACCTCCATCATAGGTTATGTTTGCATAGCGAGGAAAGGAATGATGTATAATACTTCTGTAGGAGAATTAACTTGTCTAGGGCAAAAAGCTTATGATGATGATACAAAGAATACAACTTGGTGGTCGGCTTCAAATGTCTCAGAACCATCTAACCCGTTTGCAAGATATGCCAATTTAAAGGACGTATGGTTTGATCTATCCATCACATCTAACTGGAGAGCCCCAGCGAATTTGTACTGGATCTGTGGTAAGAAGGCCTATTCGGAGTTACCACAGGACTGGGAAGGGGCATGTGTGTTGGGTATGTTAAAACCATCCTTCTTCTTGTTGCCTATTGAAACAGGTGAGACTTTAGGTGTTAAAGTGTATGATGTGAATCATAGGAAGAAAAGGGGACCCATAGAGATAGGTGCCTGGGAAGATAATGAATGGCCTCCCCAGCGTATTATAGATTATTATGGGCCAGCCACGTGGGCAGAGGATGGTACCTTTGGTTATAGAACCCCTATTTATATGCTCAACCGCATTATAAGGTTACAGGCGGTGGTTGAGATCATTACTAACGAGACATCACAAGCGCTCAATCTTCTAGCGAAGCATAATACCAGGATGAGGACAGCAGTCTACCAAAATAGATTAGCCTTGGATTATCTTTTGGCAGTAGAGGGAGGTGTATGTGGGAAGTTTAACCTGAGCAATTGCTGTCTTCAAATAGATGACGAAGGGCAAGCAATAGCTGAGCTTACTAGCCATATGGTTAAACTAGCGCATGTGCCTACTCAGGTATGGAAAGGGTACAATCCAAGTAGTTGGTTTGGTAGCTGGTATGAGTGGTTTGGAGGGCTTAAGGCAGTGGTAGGTGGAGTCCTACTGATTTTAATGTTGTGTCTACTCCTGCCGTGTCTTATACCCTTAGTAGTTAGGTCTGTGCAAAGCCTGATAGAAAATATAGCAGAGAGGAAGGCTGCTGCACAGATAATGGCAATTTATAAATATAAGGCTCTAGATCAGGGAGAACTAATGCAGGAAGATGAGTGTTGAAGATTCACATCATAGGATAAGTCTGGTCTGGTTCAAAGGTAACTTGTGGTGTATGTAAACCAAGGTTAAGTGATGCCTCAAGTAATTGTAAAATATCAAGAGGCATCAAAGGGGGGAATGTGGTGGAATCTCGGTAAAAATAAATTTAGTAGGCCGAGATTACCACGTGGCATGTGTACGTGCATATGCTGACGTATCGATCAGTTGGTTGCACGAGGCAAGATACGATCAGTAGTGTACGGAGCATGTGCAAGAATACAGGATGTAGTATTCCCCTCCTCCATTGTGCTGGACAAGCCATGTGGTCAAGCAGGAAGTTAATTCTTATTTGTAATGATTGGTCAAGAGAATGTGCGGGTGGAGCTTAATATGGGAGGAGTTATGTGCCTATATAGGAAGCCTGCACTATTGTTCAGGGCTCAGAACTTGCTGTATTTTTGGTGACATTAGTCCCTCTGAGTCCCGATCGGTGATCCAATAAAGAATCTCTTCCTTCCTGAAGAAACCTGTGTCCATCCCTCTGTGCTTTGCTTCCGTCAGTTTCTCCGGTATCACTACTATGCACTCTACTACTCATCTGCTGTCTTGAAAGGCTATTTTTTGTATCTTTGATCTTAAACCTCAGTGTTTACACCCATTGTATCTTTACATCCTCATGCCTTCATCTTGCAAACATTTACTATGAACAAAATATCCACGTTGCATACAAACACAAAATATGCTACAAACAAATCTACATACACCAACAAAAACCCTAAAATAAACATTGGAGAAAAGTAACAGAAACCATAACACTTACTGTACTAGCAAAGTACTGATCTTTCTGACCCAAGAGTGCTTTTGGTAAGAAAAATGCAAATCCACGTTAAATTAGATTTGGCTCTAAAATTAGACTAGAACATAGATGAAAAATAGGTTTCATCTGTTGGTATATTCAGTTCTCTGATTAGCCTGAGGGGCTGGGGTGGTAGGTGGCCAGGGATTCCACAGTTATGAGAATAATTAATGCATTTCAAGAACCTGGAAAATGTGTAATGCTATGTAATTATGTACAAATGCATTTGATCTATTTGTAACCAGATAATTTCTGTAAGTCCAGACAAGCAGTTTGAGATCAGATATGACGTATACTTCATACATGATGCCAACAAACCAAAATAACATCTAAAATCTCTCCAAAACTTTAAATGAGTGACCTTTCATTGAACTCACAATTTGCATTGTAAGTGTTGTGTCTCTCAAACTAACAACTTATCTAATAAAGCGCTGGTGGTAATAAATGTTACTGGGCCTCAGAAATCAATTTCTCTACAGGATTTAACCTACTGCTTCCCAAAAACAGTTCACCTCAGAGGTCTTAATTAAAGGCAGCCAAATTAACCATTAACATGCTGTAATAAATCATACCACCTCTATTGGGTAACCATTCCTTACAGCCACTACATATATCACATTAGTAAACCATATTTTGACAGTGAAATCATGAATACACTCCACGTTAATTGCCAATAATTTTACAACGGACAATTAACCATATCCACTGAGCATGGCATTATATATGACCAGTAATTACTAAGTACAAGCCATGTTTCCTGTCTTGTTGTGGTCATGACTCGTTTGGAGCTACAGCATTCATATGGAATTCCCTCTCTTGCCCTATAAGACTTTACACTACTTGCCAGTACGTAAAAGATCTAAAAAAAAAAAAAAAAGACAGTAATGTAGTTTCTAACTGAAGTCTATTAATGCTTACCCTGCCTTCATTATTGCAAGAACTACACCATGCAGACACATAACATTTTAAAAAATCTCTATGAATATCCACTAAATATCTGATATCAGGCATTTAGTTTTTTTCTTTCTTTAGGTTGTCTAAGTTGCTTGATGTGTGATGTAGATTCTTCAACCTCCTTCAGGTCACATGTTCTTGTCCTGTCTAGAAAAAACAATCACCCTTGGGAAAAAGTATATCTAGCATGTGGGATGTTTTACTTATAGAGAGAGTCGAACAGCATCGTAGGAGTCCAGAATGAAAAACAGTAACTAAATGCATCTACTGGATGCTTCCCTTAGATTTGCACTTAAACATACAATATAAATTCAAATAGTCAACAGTGAAAATGTGCAGTGTGTGAGTAAACCTTTCAGAGTAATGAGTTTTCAGTTTGTTTTGCCTGCTCATTCTTTTGCTATGTGAATGTGAAGAGATTTTATCTTCATTTTCATCTTTTTTCCAACACTCGCAAATATGTCAATTTCTGGCAAAGTAAAATCGCAAAGTGGTCTGTTTTTATGGCACGTTCTTAAAGCAAATGGTGGTGTTTCAGTCTCCTGCTAAGTTCTCTTCTGCAAATAGTCTTCTCCTTGTAACCAAGAACATTGTAACATTGTTAAAAGCATATTACAGCGCTGTATAGTAGTTATGGTGTCTGGAGAGCCCTGATGCCCCCCCTTTTGTAAGTAATCAAAGTGTCATAGAACAGTTGAATTCTTACCCCTGACCATACTGTAGCGATTATGATGCCAGGAGTGCCTTGGTGCCCCTTCATTGTAAGTATTCAAATTGTTTGACTTACCCAAAGTCTGCTGGGAAAGCACTCCCCACTTCCACTACTTCAACAGGAGAACTGCTAAGGATCTTCTGTTAGCTCTCCAGAGTTAAACTCAGCGCAGGGTCAGCACATTGGATAAGTGTGTAAGTTGTACAGCTGTAGTGAATGTGAAGGAAGGCTCTTGGAAGGCCTTGGGTAAGAATTCAAACTATTAAAATGGTTTGACTACATAAAGGTAGAGGAGGCACCAGGGGACTCCTGGCCTTTACAGCATCTTCCTCCAATTTTATGATTTTAGCCTATACATTTACAATACAATCAAATGACATTCAAATATCCCTGGATTAATATCCTTTTTAATTTCTTCATGTTGCCTTGGGACGTCAGCTTACTGCAATGCTTTCTTACAGTCTTGGCGGTAAATCAGCCTGGGAGCAAATAATGGCACACCATCAATGTATGGTGAAGAATGGCAATGAGGATATAATTTCACTTAATATCATTCCCTAATATGATTCCCTCTGGGTGTTGTGCATTGTTTGGTAATCCATGCTCAGACCCTTCCTTATACTATTTCACCCATGTGCATTTCTTCTATTTGCCCTATCTAAATTTAGTATTCATTCACACCCTTCACATTTATGAGTTCTGCCTCATTTAATACAACAAAAAGTGTGTGACATGGGCATAAAATAAAAAGCTAAAGATCAGACCTGCCTTTTTTTTCTTAAATTAGATGTGGGCATTGGAGTGTATTAATCAATGATTTAATTTGTGCTAACATTAAACTAGCAGCTGTCACACCAGCAAATGTGAATTTAATTTTCAATTCAAAAACTGAACATAAGGCAAGCAAGGAAAGGCAGCAGTGGACGCTGGCTCACTGCAATGTGCATGGATGAAGTCTGAATACAAGAACAAAAAGAGCTAGCAACCTGTTTGCTTGAAGTGAAACAGATTAGAAGTATTGGATGTCTGTTAACTAAACTGTGAACTCTATTAAGATGAAGATTAACTCTTAAAACGAAAACTTAGAGCATGAGCAGGAAGCAGCTCACTTAGTGAATGAATGCCTAGTGAAATCAAAGTGAAATTAAAGGATCACTATAGGGTCAGGAACACAAACATGTATTCCTGACCTTATATTGTTAACACCACCATCTAGCCCCCCTGGGCCCCTCATGCCTCCATGAATATAGCAAAATATTACTGTATTCAAGCCTGAAGCTGTAACTCTGCATGCTGTTAGACTCAGAAAAACAAGCAGTTTGCTGACATCATTAGAAGTGGTGGCCTGATCCAATCACAATGCTTCCCCATAGGATTGGCTGCGACTGACAAGGAGGCAGATCGGGTGCAGAGCCAGCATGATTCAAACACAGCCCTGGCCAATCAGCATCTCCTCATAGAGATGGATTGAATCAATGAATCTCTATGAGGAAAGTTAAGTGTCTGCATGCAGAGGGAGGAGACACTGAATGTTTAGATGCATTTTAGGCAGCCATGACCCAGGAGGAATCTCTAACAGCCATCTGAGGAGTGGCTTATAAGTATATCCCAAACAATATACAATCGATAAATAATATAGAAAGCAATAGTACTTAGCTTATAAAGATGTATGACAGCCTCCCTAGGTCGTTACCCAAACAAGCGACCTATATCATATATAGTATAAACCAAAACAGAGAAGATTCGGGATATGGCTGTGTAAATCTACAGAGAAAGCATAAAACAAAACATAGTGTATCACCAAAAGACATCCACAGGTCATTGATTCATTGTTATTATTGTTTTTAATTGTGGTCCCTGAGGAAGTTCTTATAGAACGAAACGCGTAGGACAACCTTCTGTTATTTGTATCCTATGCTGAATTGGTGACTACACTTTTTATTTAAATAAATTTTTTATTACTGAACCCTGACCTGTGGATGTCTTTTGGTGATACAAGGATCCAGAGGTGATAAGGAATACCAGCTAGCCCCCCATTCCATTGGGGAAGGCACCTTAAGAGCGCTTTTACTGCCTACATCCTGTGAGTGCATAAGATTACTGCGCATGAAATATTGTGTTTTATAACAATATCTGAGGAGTGGCCACTGAAGCTATCACTAGCCTGTAATGTAAACACTGCATTTTCTATGAAAAGACAGTGTTTACAGCAAAAAGCCTGAATGTAATGATTCTACTCACCAGAACAAATTCAATAAGCTGTAGTTGTTCTGGTGACTATGGTGTCCCTTTAAGTAGCATACACTGATCAGCCACAACATTGAAACCACAGATTGTTGAAGTGAATAACATTGATTATATGGTTACAATGGCACCTGTCAAGCATAGGATATATTAGGCAGAAAGTGAGCAGTTAGTTTTTGTGAAGTGAAACGATCTGAATTACTTTGATAAGTGCCAAACAGTGATATCTAGTTGACTGGGTTAGAGCATTTCCAAAATGTAAATAATGCAAGTATTGTGGGATGCAGTATGCAGTGGTTTGTACCTAGCAAAAGTAGTACAAGGAAGGACAATCAGGGAATAGGCGTCAGGGTCATGGGCGCCCAAGACTCATAGATGCACATGGGGAGTGAAGGCTAGCATGTCTGGTCTGATTGCACAGAAGAAGAAAATTAATGCTGACCATGAAAGAAAGGTGTCAGAACACACAGTAAATTGCAGTTTGCTGCATATGGAGCTGTTTAGCCGCTGTTTAGCCGCTGACCTGACGGAATCCGATGACCTCTGTCCGTGGCCAAAAGTGCCTTTAAGGATGGCGTGAGTGTCAGAGGATCCTCACTTCCCTACAAAATAATTGTTACAGCTCCTGGCCATTCCATATTGTATTTGAAATTTCTATTCCATCATCATTGGTGGTTGTGAAGACGTGGATTGCCACAGGATTGATGCCATGGACGTCACTGGTATCGCAAGTGTGTGTAAAAATGAAGCAAGCTAACTATGTACCACCCAGAGAAAGAGATCATTCCTATAATCAGGCTTCTTCTACAAAGTTATTCAGATGGAAATTTGGTTTTAGAGACTTAGCGCTGTTTTGCTCCTAATCCCCTCCTTTGTTCCAGCACCAACTTCTTGCCCATTCCCAGTTGTTCTTGGATTTCCAGGTTTTTAAATCTCAAACTTGTTCTATTATTTACATGTCCATGTTGCTTGCACTGACCTATGGACCACCTGTCTGTGTTTTTTGTATTTAATGCTGTAGGCTCTTTTCTTCTTATGTTAACTAGTAAAACCCCTGTGCCATCACAGACCTCCAAGGTAACTACTTCTCCCTTACATTACCATGGAGGTCCTGCTTTAAGATGGATGTCCATCTGCTATCAGGTTCTGGCTCATTCCAAACACGCATGGGTCATGACAAATTCATCCCCTTGTATTGTATTACATCTGTCTTCTTCACTCTTGTTCAATTTTTAAGTTACATTTATAATCTTCCTCATATAACTAGTATTCTCCCTATCGTTCCCTTTTCCTGTTATTGCATATTTACCATAGTCCCTACTTTTTCACTTTATATTTCCTCTCTTGGCAAACATATAGCTTGGATTGGATTATAGTATTACCTGTATGCCAATTATACAGAAAAGCAATTATTATTATTATTATTATTGCCATTTATATAGCGCCAACAGATTCCGTAGCACTTTACAATATTATGAGAGGGGATTTAACTATAAATAGGACAATTACAAATAAACTTACAGGAACAATCGGTTGAAGAGGACCCTGCTCAATCGAGCTTACATTCAATTCTTTACTGATCTTACCCTTTCCATTTTGGATTTTGTCCTAATTTATTCTTTTATATCTTAAATGACAGCCTACCTCTTCAAACTCAGACTCTGCAAAATTGAGGTTCTTCTGATTTTTTAATTGCAAATATTCCTTATCTCTTCATATAAATGGTGTAATCATCCATCAATCATCCATCCCATAGACAGATAGCAGGTTTCATTAATATATGCACTCAGGATTTTTTTTCCCTAAATAGTTGTCTCTGTAAATGTTGTGATTTCATATAGTCATGAAATTAAGAAGATCTAGACAATAGTAAAAAAAAAAAAAAAAAATGTTACATATCGTGGTTGCAGTTTATTAAAAAATTTACACGCTGCATAGGTATTGTCCTATACACACTTACCATGTGGAACACAATTATTCTACTAACTTCCTTTGTAATAACTAAATAAATAATTAGTTGGGGTCATATTACGATCTTTAATCACTTGGAATGAAGAACACCAATTTCATTAGCTAAAAAATTCTAAGAGTTGTTGAAATTATTTGATTTCATTATTGTTCTGTAAAGTAGTCAGCTGCCAGTTTTGCTACCTAACTCGCTAGCTACATTTTCCAAAGTTGATTAAATTGCTAAAGAGATTGCAGTGACCTGATCCCCATACTGAGAAAGAAAAGCAGGGTTACTGCTCAAACTAAAGGTTGATCATTTTCAAAAGTTCAGTATGCTTTTAGAACAAAATGTTGTAAGAAAAGTACTTGATGTTTGTATGAGGAAATTGCTGAGAAAAGCACACAAGTTCACAGAATAAAGACATGACAGTGCATGCACTTCTACTTAATGCGCTAGAGCTATTCCTTGTTAAAATACTAGAATTTACTTTCAATGATCACATCCAAAAGGTGGAATACTAAGCATTTTGTTAGGTTATAGGTCAATAAATTTGTTTCCTCCACATTCTGCATCTTCTGCTACTCCAACGTTCTCTAACAAGAGAAAGGCAGTGATAGAATTATCTACATTAACTTTTTATGGCGACTCACCTCTGACACTAAACTTAGTTACCTTCCACATGCAATGAATGAGAGTGCTGTGCTTGGGGTGTAGGCCTTCATGATCTTACAGAAGAATTGTATTTACTCTTTTGCATAAAGAATACACCAAATTTGATAGGGTTCCAGACTACCCATTGTGCAAAGTATTTCAAATAGACAAAGATGGACACTTTAAAGGGACACACCAGACCCCTAAAGATCTTTAGCGTGCTTAAAAGCTTTGGGTGTGAAGAGTGTGTCTTCTTTATTTAATCAAGCAAAAAGTGTAGATTTCAAAAAAACTTTACAATTTTATAGAGTTACATGGTTACACCCCTGTGGCTGTCACTCAGACAACTGGTCCTGTTCCTTCATGTGTGCTCAGTTGAGCTAAGCTTAAAAGGCAGCAATTGCCCAGAGCCCCTGTCTTGCAAAGACTTCTCATTGAGCTGCATTGGGAAGCCTGTGATTGGACAGTCATAGAAAGTCTGGGCGGGGCTATAAGTTGAGGGATTGCAAAGGCAGAACAACAACTTTTGCAAGCTGTTTAAGACAAATCTCAATGAATAAAAATACATAATTAAATCAATGCAAGTATTCCGTTGGGGTATATCTACTGATAGTGATTTTCTTATATTTTGTATTTGGGCAGGGAAGTGTCCCTTTAATTTTAGAGATTTGAGTGGGTGTGGTCAAGGGCAGGGCTGCTCTGAGAACAGCCTACACCTGGCCACACCCTCTTACTTAGAGCAATTTATGCAGATAAAATATAATTTAACAATGTATCTTATTTACACAGACTGATTTGTTGAAACAATTATTGTAGTTTAAAGACACATTACTGTGAGTATAACTGCTTGGAGCTCTGTTATACACTCAAACACACCAATAATATAAAGCTCCTAGAAAAGAGGGACATTAGGATAGAAAATGGGACAATCCCTTAATTATGGACACTTGGGAGGTATGCTGGTGGATTGCAGTGGTATTTAGTATAACAAAATCCAGTGAATCAAAGAATTATACAGTTCAGTGGCTAACTACAGTTCTTCTCTCCCCGCTGCCCCTTGCTGATTGGATATCTAAGTGTTATAGAAGCCAATGCAGAAAATGGCATACTGACCTGTTGTCCCACACACTGTACCCATCAGTAGGCAGGAGCAGGAGAGAAGGAAACTGACTATGGCCAACAAAGAATGGTAAGGGACTGGGCTAGGACTGGCAAGGCCAAAATGTGACCAGCCTGATTTATGTCCAGTCTGCCTCCTGCTGGATAAAATGGGTAAATTATATTTTAAATTAAATTAAAGGACCACTATAGTGCCAGGAAAACATACTCGTTTTCCTGGCACTATAGTGTCTCTAGGTCCCCCCACCCTCTGGGCCCCCCTCCCGCCGGGCTCTATGGGATGGAAGGGGTTAAATTTACCTATTTTTCCAGCGCTGGGCGAGGAACTCTCCTCCTCCTCTCCTCCTCCATATCGCTGTCATCGGCTGAATGTGCATGCGTGGCAGGAGCCGCGCGCGCATTCAGCCAGTCCATAGGAAAGCATTCTCAATGATTTCCTATGGATGCTGGCGTCTTCACACTGTGAAAATCACAGTGAGAAGCGCAGAAGCGCCTCTAGCGGCTGTCAACGAGACAGCCACTAGAGGCTGGATTAACCCATTTGTAAACATAGCAGTTTCTCTGAAACTG